AGAGGAGGTGGGATGGACGAAAAAGCTTAGTGGAATTTGGCTGGTCTGGCTTTTGAAATAAGCATTGGTTCACTTCTTGAATTTCAACAGATTGTATTAGGACAGTGTCTAGCTGACTCATGACAGAGAAATTTTCTGTGCTTGCAGTCTGGGAAATGCAGCTACATAACTATAATAATTTGTGTAATGCAGCGGCATTGCCAATAATTAATTTTATTAGAAATTTTAACTTAGCAATAAGAACATGAGAAAAAGGGAGAAAAAGAAAGGAAAAATATTTTCTGAGGAAAAAACCTGCCAAAGCCTCCACTTGAACCTCAGTAATTAAATTAGTTGTTTATTATGTGTCATTTAACTTCTCAGTGGTCACGAAAATATCCACAGTACCTTTCCAAAAGAACATTCCCCTCCTAATCTAAGTTGCTTTGAATTGCTCTTGGCAAATACAAGAACTTTACAAGATCACTTTTGCAAAATCTGTTTTGCAGATGTGGAAACCATCATTTAAAAAGTTAAATTTAAACATGTGTATGTGAAGCCTTTTTCATGGATATTTGAATTGAAAAGGAATTTGTGAAAGAGAAATCATAAATGTTGATGGGACTGCTTATCGTTCAATGTATTGAAACTTGATGTAATGAGCAAACAACAGTATATGTTAAAAGTATAGTTCAAAAAAATCCCTGTGTCTAGTTTTTACCAAAGAGCAAACTTTCATTAAATATAGTTTGTTTTCATGTGGGAAAAAAGACTCATTCAGGAAGTGTTTTTCTTTTGTTTTTACTTGAGTTCAAAAATACCTTGATTCTGCCTGTCAACAGATAAATATTAATATTATACTTCTGCTAAGTGGTGCAACACAGAGCATAAAACAGTGCTATTGTTTCATCTCCCACTTTTTTACTTCTGAGGAGATACTCTTAGGAAGAGAGTTTTTTTGAACAAAATGAGTGTCCTGGAAATTATCTGATTGATGCAGGGTAAAAGTTTTTACTCATTTCAACACAAACAACGGACTGAGCTCAGAGAACTTAGGAAATGAAAACAGAACTTCTAAAATGTAATCTTATTTATTTTTTCATTATATCTGAGGAAGAGGAAATCGTTAAATGGCATGAAATATTTCAAAAGAAACCCCAGAGCTATAATTACATAATGTACCCTGAGTTGACTGTTATATGGTATGCTGATTGAGGGTCAGTAGCAGAAGGGGACACAATATACGGAAGCAGTCCGTATATTTTTGCCGTATTGCCAGTTTAGAGATGTATTACCTGAAGTAAATTGTTTGGGTTTCTATGCTTCTTTACCTTTTTATCTCCTTTCCTTCTGACTACAATGGGAGGAGTTAGATGTTAGTCACAGTATCACAGGATGGTTTGGGTTGGAAGAGACTTAAGAGGTTGTCTAATTCCAAACTCCCCTCTCTTCCAGCCAAGTTCAGGGGGTCCCACCCACTAGACCAGGTTGCTCAGATCCTTGGCCAAGCATATCTTGAACATTTCTAAGAATGTGACATCCACAACTTCTCTGGGCAACCTATGCCAGTGCCTTAAATTGTCACAATAAAGGATTCATTCCTAGTATTGATCCTAAATCTCTCCTCCTTCAGTTTAAACTGTCCCCCTTGATGCTATCACTATCTGCTTGTGTAAAAATCACTTTCCTTCTTTTTTACAAGCTCCCTTTTAGTACCTGAAGTTGCTTTTGGTCCCCACAGAGCCTTCTCTTTTCCTGTCTGAGCAGACCCAGCTCTCTCATTTCCTCATAGGAATTGTGTTCCAGCCCCCTGATCCTCATTCTTGCTTCCTCTGGACTCATTCCAATAGTTTCATGTCTTTTTTATTCAGAGACCCAGCTCTGGATGCTCCAAGGGGGTCTCAGCAGAGCAGAACAGAGGGGCAGAATCCCCCTCCCTCCCCTGCTGCCCACGGGGCTCTGGATGCAGCCCAGGACACATTTTGCTCTGGGATGTGATTGCCATGGCCGGGGCATGTCCAGCCACAGGATCAGTTAGGTTGGAAAAGGCCTCTGGGATTGATTCTAGACTGTGGCCCAACACCACCATGGTCAGCCAGACCATGGCACTCAGTGCAATGTCCAGTCTTTCCTTAAACACCTCCAAGGATGGTGACTCTACCACCTCCTGGGGCAGCCCATTCTAGTGTCTAATCACCCTTTCTGTGAAGAGATTCTTCCTAATGTCCAGTGTAAACCTTCTTTCATTCCAGTCAAGGTATGTCTCCAGGGTTCTTCAGTGATCCCTGCTTCTAGTCTCTAACTGGTCTGAAGAAAAATATAAAACATACATAGTTTACAAATGACTCCTCATGTTTTAGTTGGTGGTGATTCAGTCAGAAACCATGCTAAGCTGAAATTTTGCACATAGTAGTATGAGATGTGTTTGCAATAAGATGGCCATTTTAAAATAAAAATAGGAAGTGTTTCCATAAAGAATAAAAATACTTTAAAAATCTTATGTGAAAGAAGACATTAAAGAGCTCAGTCTTAGCTCGAGAATTAAGGGCTCTCTGGGAATGACTGACAGATTTGTAACTAATATATAGGTGGTTTCTTAAAAAATATTTACTTCAGTAGAATTTTTTTTTCATTAGGTTCAGTAGCAGCAAGGCAGCAGCAAACACATGCTCAGTATGAAGACATTAAGAAAACACTGAGGGACTATTAAATATATACTATAGGCTATGTGGGCATTTTTGACAGGGCATGTAACTCATGTGTGGGAGTGTGGCCAACTGTCTGCAGCAGAAGCAACAGTTCAGAGAACTTGGATTTTTCAACTGACCTGCTTATATTACAGCTGATTTAGGGCTCATACTTCTTCAAATGGATTTTATAAGGAATAAGAGTATACAAGTGCATCTTCTTCCTTTACAGTGGAAAGGTAAAATGATAAAAAGGTTTGAGTATGTTCTTAGTGTAGCCAATTTCTGAGGTTTTGACAGGATATTGAGCCCTAAAAAGTGGAAACTGAAGGTTTAAAAAAAGTCATTCCATGCCAGCAGAAACAAAGAATTAGGATGGTAAAGGATTCTCAATAGATTGTTTCTGGAATTACATCTGAGATCCTTGTGAAGCATCTGGAATGAAAGGGGAAGGCAGGCTCTGAACTTCCCTGCACGTAACTGTGTTTACAGATGCACCATCTGAGAAGGGGTGTGCCAAGGCAGTGCTTGGGAACTTGCACTGTAAAAGAGGACAGAGCTTAACAGTAGGTGATGGGCACCACTGAAGGAAGAAGAGAAGCTGAAGGTATAGGACAGTCAAATGAGATTTTGGAGGAATTGAATATTATGAAGGAAAAGGAATGGAAAAAGTCTCAAGTTTTGAGCAGATATCACAGTGGGAGAAAGTGTGAATGAAAGGCAGGAGACTGAGGTGGTTAACACACGGAGATGAAAAAGGGAATTTCAGAATCATGTATAATGGTTGAGGATGAAAGCAATTTTTGAAGATCTTCTAATCAACCTAATCATAATTGTGATATAGTGTTTCATTTAAAATAATAGCTAAAACCACCAAACAACAAACCATACAGAACCTCAAATCCAATCTAATCATCAAAACACTTGAATGTCTTATGCTATAGCTCCAAAAAGAGCAATGAAGTGGTGCCTTACAGACAGGAGATTTGAAGACTGGAAAATTAAACTAACCTTGACTTTATTATGGACAACAGGAGATGAATTCTACTTATTCATTCTAAGTTCCAGTTACCGGTTTCTCATTACTGTCATTAAATGTGCAATTAATTGTAACCTCTCTGAGGTATTTCCAGCTCATTTTCTTGTCTGTTTTGTTCTAGAATTATTTATAGGTCAGCTCTGTGGCCTGTCTGGTCTTGTAGCTCTGATGGAAGTTCCTAATGTTGTGCTGTGGTATCTTGTCTCATTGTGGAGAAAGGGCAGCCTCTGTTAAAGTTGTGTTTGCTTTGCTAGAGACCAGTGAATTATGTGCTGTTGGATCATAGGCAATGTTTGTATAGTCTAAACAAATGGGGTTGTCTTGAGAACCTTGAGACTTTTTCTTTCTAAATGAATGCTCTTCCTTGCTTTGCCAAATTCTGAAACTCTTCTCTGCATTAGATGCCAGAAGAGTTTTGAATTTTTATATGGAAAGACCTCAACATATTAAATGGACAGAAAACATTTGTATCTAAGACAGTTTAAAGGGTCCACCTGTATAGTGTTTTAGTTCTCTCTCATTTGGATGTTTTTCTGTATCTAAGGAACAGTGAAGATCCAGGCAGATAGTCTTTTTCCATTAGAAGGAGAAAGGATGTATTTGTTTTGCTAATAATGTGGGAAAAACTCAACTTGAAAAAACAATATTGCATAAATGAGTCTTTCTAAAATATCCGAAGAACACTTTTATAACAGAACTCTTAAGACCTTCAGGATTAGTGGAAGAGAACTACAATAAAATTACAATTAAAGTTTAAAATTACTTTAAAAAATGAAGTGTGAAGAATAACCAGCCAGTTAAAAGCAGAATATTCAGTTGTTGTTATGTCTGAATAGTTAAGAAATCTGTTTAAGTTATGGATTTGTATAAGCATTCCATGCCTATTTCCTGAAGTGTTCATTCATTGTAGAGAACTGAATACTTTCCTCTTCTTGATTTCCAGTGGCAGTGGAGATTATGTAGTACCTGTGTATTAAAATTTTTTTTCTTCAAATTTCTAAGTTATTGAAGTATTTTCATGAGAGTTTTGGGAAAAAGTGTTTTGGTTTGGGGTTTTTTTGTGTGTTTTAAAATTTTTTTTGAACTTCAGATGCATTTTAGTAAATATGATGTTTCTTACTTGAAAAGTTGTCCTCATATCTTAAATGCTATTTTGCCATTACAACTTAATTTGAACAATATTATGATATTATGCCATCTGTGCTGGAAAAGGTGTTTGGTGTTATCACAAGAAGAACTACTTTATATATATTAACGGTATCAAAAACAACTGTTTTTTTAAACTCTTTTTTCAGAACTGTGAGGACTTGGGATGTTAACAATGAAAAAAAGCACAAAAGTGTATTTAAGCCACGATCAGTTCAAGGTAAACGTGTGATTCCTACGACTTGCACATACAGCAGAGATGGGAAACTTATTGCAGCTGGTTGTCAAGATGGCTCAATCCAGATCTGGGACAGAAATATGAGTGTAAGTCCAGTTTTTGATAACAGTATATGCTTCTATTGTTTCAAGTGTAAATGTTGAAGCAGATAAAATCAGTTTTGGTACTTTTATATTTTTATTTATTTCCTCTCCTCTCCCCTCTGTCCTGAAAACCAAATAACTCATAGGCATGAGTTTCTTCTGCCTTTCACAACAGATCATTAAGTGGGCTACTACTAAGTTCAAAATTCTGGGAAAAGTCTTGGCAGTCTGTGTCAGAAAAAGTTGACCAAATATCTGTATCTAGATTATTATTCATTTAAGATGGAATGCTTGTGAGAAAAGCCGTAATTTCTTGTTGTTATATAATTTATTTGAGATATTGAATATATTGAGGAGTAGCTCTTAATACCTAAATCAGTCATTAATCCATGTAATAGGTAAGAGAAGAACAGCATCTAAATGGGTGAGGATATGGCCAATGCTGCACATTAAATGGCAAATGTTCTTATATTAGCTAATGCGTAAAAATTAACACTGAGTCAAACTTGAACCATTTATGTAAATGCATCGTGGTCAGAAAGAGAATGGAAACTATTTCAAACTTAGCAAAATTAGGAAATATTTCTGTTCATACTGAACTAAACAATTGATTTCCAGTAGTTAAGACTTGACCTGACAAGTATAATTCTTGCTACTAATTTATAATTTGAGGCTTAGAGCATTCAGTGCTCACTCTTGCTTTCTATAGTATAGCTTACAAACCAGTCCTGCTTCCAAGAATTTAATTTTATAATGTCAAGTGCAAATTCACCAGGCTAAGCTTAACTGCTTTGAAAAATAATCATCCTAGTAAATCATCCATGTCCTCTCTTTATGCCCATCTTATGCAAAGAAGATACAGTGGGATAAATACCAATGGCATGAATTGGAGGAGAAAATAGAAATAGGTTCAGTGAGGAAATGAGGCAAGAAGAGCAAGATCGTGAAACTGGTGTCATAAATCTTTGAAAGCTGTACAATTCCAGTAGGATGGTTTTGTGGAAGTAAAGCTGAACTAGTCTAGTACAGGTTACATGAGTCTGTTCAACTTCATATTTCAAAATATTTAATTTTAAAAAGGAAAACAGACAATCTGGGCAGCTTTTTACAAAGATTTAAAAAGATTTGATTGCTGGAGGCAGGAGGAAATGTATAGATTTAAAAGGAAAAGCAAGCCTGTGGATCATACTCAAAGTACAGCCTGTATTTCGGGATTGTAATCTATTTTTATTTCTGTTTTTATTTCCATTATAAACCTAGTAAAACTTCCTAATGGCACAAAGCTTGAGAATTCATCCTAAGTGTAAACTTGGTCTAACAGAATAATAAATTTTTCAGAGACTGGCTTTCATCACCTGTGTATGTTGTTTATTTTAACATATACAGTACTGAAATATTAAGGTTTCTGGTGTAGTTTTAACAATAGTGCTCTTGGTAGCCTGCTTTTTCATGTGCTTTTCCTTTTGAACTTTTCTGTGTCTGTAAGATGACATATTGCAATGCTGATTGAGTGCAGTTTAAGGTGATTATGAGTAATTTAAAGATATATCCTGTGCATTTTGTGCAATTTCCAATGGGTGACCCCAGTATAACAAGGAAAGACTGAAGTAATTTTGTAGTGGAAATTAAGTTTGTGGTGTTCTTGGGTTTGTATTTTTAATGTCTAAAGAATTTTTGTCTTTGTTAATTTCATTAAGAAGTGTGCAAGATTTTTGGGTAAAGGAGCAGGTAAATTGGATTTTTAGTGGTGTTCTTACCTAAGACTTCTGGTGTCCTGGAGATCCCTGTATACAGTTAGAATCAAGTGTTTCAAAAGGCATCTTGATTAAACAATTAGAAAAAGCTTTCATCTTATATTTGGGGATGGGGAAGGGATAAGAAAAAAAATTTCAAATGGAAAATGTGTTCATCATAACAATTAGAAAGAAGAGGATGAGTGACTGCTGTAGTGGAATGATGAAAGCACTTATTGGGCTGACAAGATACAGAGATGCTTGCAAAGGTGAACAAGAAAATGCTAAGTTAATACAAATCGATGCAGTTCTTGGGGGTACAAATTTTATGTGACACAGGAAAATGGGTAAAGCTGTCTAGGATAGAGGTGTGAGGGTTAAACTTCTTGAAGAAATATGTGGTAGAAATATTAACTTCTGATTTTGGAACAGAAAGGCTGTAATTCCCATACGGCAAATACCATTTGGTTCTGTTAAAACAAGAGAATAGCCGTATGTATATAGATTTTGCTGTGCTACAGTACAACTTACTTGCAGGTCAAAATTAAGAGAGCATTTGTGTTTATCTTAACAAGACTCTATTGAGTCAGTAGTAAAAGTCACTAGTGTTTGAAAGCAGAAATAATTGCCATGTTTTCTTATTCTTGATCAGTTTGGAATGATTCTGACATCATTATTTATCCTGTGTGCTTTGTCCATATGCAGCTGGAAGGAGATACTCAGGAAGGTGTTTAAAATGGACTGTAGCTTATTTGACTGTACTGGTATGACTGGGATGACCCAATAAAGGTCTGTTGTGACTGTCTGAATTTGATTTTGCTTTTGTGCAAGAATGTAAATGACATTTCAGCTCTGGTCTTGAGAGCCCAAACCACTGTTCCTGCATATGGTGGTAACAGCACAAATGAAATCCATGAAAATTGTCCATCCAGATTATGGCTCACACTGTGAGTGCCTGTCTCCTGGTTGTGTGTGAAGAGTTTTGGGTGCATTTTTTTTTGAGTACAAACCACTGTCAAACACAGCAGGGAGGAAGTTTCTGTTTTCTTGGGTGAAAATGTAAAGCCCCTGCTTTCCCACGGACAAAGGCTCATCGATGCAGCCCAGAATCACAGGTTTGGTCAGGTTGCAGTGGTCATCTGCTCCAACCTCCCTACTCAAGCAGGGCCATCCTAGAGCACAGGGCAGAGGATTGTGTACAGATCATTCTTGGATATCCCCACTGAGGGAGACTCCACATTCTCTCTGGGCAGTCTGTTCCAGTGCTAGGTCACTGCACTGTAAAGAAGTTCCTTCTCATGTTCAGGTGCATCAGTTCCTGCTCATGTTCAGGTGCATCAGTTCCTGCCTGTTGCCTTTTGTCCTATTAAAGTATGAAGCAGCAGTTCCAAGGCCAGAAGTGAATACCCCAATAGGAAATAGGGTCTGATGATGCCCTTTCCAACAGCAAAAGGGGCACTCAGAAGCAGGCACAATGGGGTAGTGTTGGTGGGAAGTCATTACTGTACCACTTTGCAGGACAGAAGCTACCCCATAAATCTCCTTTGCCACTGTAGTCATAGTATCTACACTGCTGGTATAGGTTTTTTTTTATTCTCTGCTTGTTATACCTGTCTTAAGGAATCATACCAATGTGTCAATCAAAGGGCAAAGAAATAAAAAATGAACCTGTTGTGTGGTGGCATCCCCATCACCACAGATACATCACCTGTGTTGTACACTGCTTCACACTGTAGAACTTGGTCTAGAATGGTGTGATTAAATAATTTTTGGTTTTTAATTGAGGAGGACAAGATCTTCTCTATGTCATGTTTTATCCATCCTGCTGAAGTCAAAGTAGCTGTTTGTTGTAAGTCATCTTCATCAGTTGTTTTTTTTCCCAAGCCACTTTTGAAACACTTCAGTATCTGCTTGCTTTTTTGTTTTGTTTTGTTTTGGTTTTTTGGGGTTTTTTTTGGTTTTTTTGTTATGTTGCTGTGCCTAGGGAGCGCTTTTGGTGTGTGATCAATTCACTTCTGACTAGTAATGATCACCATGAATGTTTCATTCAATTTTTTACTTCCACTCCTTTTTGGTATGATTCCAAATCTCCCAGCTGTGTGCAGTGAGAGTAAAAATACTTTTGGAACTTTCGGAGGAAGATTTTTTTTCTTAATTCATGACACTGACATTGGTAACTTGCTAGTGCTGAAGTTAGCCAAATGCATTCCAGCTCTGCCTTGCCTTTTTCCAAACTTCCTCAGTAGGATCATGATCCATTATAATCACCTGCCTTAGAGGATTTTTTTTGTTTTGTCATAAATCTGTGTTATTTTCTCACATATATTATTTTGTCAGTGCATGTTTTTTTCTTTAAGGTTCATGTACATGTGCATTTACAGTGCACATTAGCGGAGTGATCTGTCAGCATATTTGAAATATTATGAACACTGTCAACTTGGCTTAAAATAACAGCTTCAAAGGACATAAAAAATAACTTCCTTCAAACTTTGAATGAATAGTGGAAACAACAGTGTGAAATAGTCAATCATAACACAACACATTAGAACATTCTCAATTTAAATGTTCTGAGATGTGGAGAAAAGTGTCTGGCGAATACAGAGAGTTGAAGAGCATTAGTGGTCGAAAATAAGATAGGACCTTGAAAATTGCTGGTTCACAGGGCAGTGCAGTTATACAACTAGTTAAACAACGAAGTTTACCTGTAGTTCATATAAGTTCAAATTCCTCATCTTGCCTGTGCTTGCCCATCCAGAGCTTTTTGCAAGCCTGCGGTTGTACATATTTCTGAACAAACTGATCCACGGAGGCAATCTTTAGCATCTAGAATGCAGAGTGTCTTGCCATCAGTAAACCTTTTTGTGCCTGATTTTCCTGTCCAGAAATGGGAGACACTCATTCATAATAATGGGGAAAGACTGAAGTAATTTTTGAAACAAATTGTGAGTTAAAATTGAAATCTCTTCAATGAGCAGAAAACCTCCCCTCATTTTCCACAATAAGCAGGAAAGGATTAAAAAATAAGATTAGTTACAAATAGGCTTTTTTAGGGTAAAAAGCTGGACTGCTTAGTTAGCCTTCCTTAATCTTTTAAAACACCTGATGAGGCTACCTGTTGCACAGATTTTCTCCTTGAACTTTTCCTGGGTGTGTTCAGCACAGGAGTGCATAAACAAGTTCTCTGTGTATGACAGGCTGAATCATGTTTCACAATTTCACACATCACCTATTTTATGGTATATCATGGCAGCTGTGATACAGAAATGTTAA